AGAGACCGTAGCGGTAACCTAGTGCTCAGATAGAAATATGGAAACAGCACTTCGAAACAATTAGCAACATAACACATACGACCAGCGAAGAATTGCATGATAGTAACCCAGTCAGAAGACAAACAAACTTAAGAATTTCTGAAGATCCCCCAAATATTAGCGAAATAAAAACAGTCATACCAAAACTCAAACACAATTAACAATTCTTATCTTTTAACGCTTTCGACACAATTAAGCGCGATGCAATATGGAAAGCGTTAAAAGATAGGGGAACCCCAGACAAAATAATCCGCCTGATCCAAACACTGTATGAAGAAGCCGAGCTCGCAGTATTACACAGAGGAAAAATAAGCGAATCCTTTACCACCCAGTCAGGAGTCAAACAAGGTGGCCCACTTTCACCACTGCTCTTCACAATCGTGCTAGATAACATCTTGCAACTTGCCTGCTCACAGAGAAGGGGCATAATCTGGAGTCTCACTCAACATCTGGAGGATCTAGATTATGCAGATGACATCTGCCTTCTATCCCACAAGATCAGCGACATGCAGAGCAAATTAAAACACCTTGAAAAACTTGCCAAACTTGTGGCGTTAGAAATAAACATAGACAAAACAAAAGTTGATGAAAATAAACTGTACTAGCACAGCCAGTCTGGAACTCAATAACCAACAAATAGAGTTCGTTAGCAGCTTCTGCTACCTGAGCAGCATCATAACACCAGAGGGCGGGGACCAAGATGATATAGACAACAGACTGAAGAAAGCAAGAGCGGCGTTCGGTAGACTGCAGCCAATATGGAAAAGTAGCCAGATATCCAGAACGACTAAGGTCAAAATATTCCGGTCTTGTGTGAAATCGGTTCTGACATATGGCAGCAAAACTTGGTTAACATCAAAATCTACCAGTCAAAAGTTGCAAGTATTCATCAATAGATGCCTCAGAATAATATGCCGCATATTCTGGCCAAGACACATAAGCAACAAAGACCTCTGGATAATAACAGGCGAAGAACCTATCGGAAGACAAATAAGAAGAAGAAAGTGGAAATTTATTGGGCACACTCTAAGAAAACCCGCCAATAATATCGCTAAAATGAGCTTAGAGTGGAACCCGCAGAGTTCAAGAAGACCTGGACGCCCCAGAAACACCTGGCGTAGATCTGTAAAATCAGAACTAGAAAACGCAGGTCTAACATGGAGTCAAGTCAAGCAAATAGCCCAAAATAGAACAAGATGGAGATGTCAAGTGGAAGCCCTATGCTCCCAAGAGGAGTAAGGAGAAAAAAAAAAAAAAAAATTGAATTCTAAATGTTTAATAAATACGAAAATGCACTTTAATGATGAGATATGATTGATTTTCTCTTCGATGATATTATATAAGGTCTTTAAAAAGTTCGGTCTAAGTGTTGTTTTATTAAAAATATAGATCTTCAAAGATAATATTAACTCACATAATGTCCAACACGAGCACGTCTACAAAAGCTTTCATTCGAGAATAAAAAATACTCCAAGAACTCGCTTACACATCAGTAGGAGGACAATAATCTCCATCTGAATTTTGTATTTCTTTCAGTCTACATTTTGCGAGAATTTTTTTAAAAGTCCATGTGAATAACGCAATAACAATTAAAGCAAAATCTAAGCGCAAGTTTTGAAAGATCCTATATAATTTTATTAAGTGCACGCTTAATATTTTATAATAGGAAATTCTCAATCATATATGATTATGATATATCATTTAATTTTCACATCAAAATGGTTGATGTTCATTCACTAATGATTTTCATCACTAAACAAAAGATTTATTTATTATCACTATTATTTTTAAAATTTATTCCAAATTCTTGTTTTTAGTTCTTCTCATTCTATGTAACAAGAAATTAGATGCATTTTAACAATTCAGTTTAAAATAAAATAATCAATTTATTTAATATTCATTAGGTGGTCGTCCATATACATACTCATATATGTATGTGGAAACGCTTATTCCCATTATAATCATTTTGTGGTTACGATGATTTCATGTAACAATTTTTATAATATTAATTATAAAGACAATCTAGGTTATGCGAGATTGCACCGCTTTTTTGTACTAGCTTATTAATTAATACCAGTTATTGTGGTTATTTAATTTTCGTAATTATTTAATTATGAGTATTTGCAATATTATCAAATTAAATAATTACTATTTACTAATTTTTATTTATTTTTGGATTAGTTGTGGCGCTAGTTTTTTTGTTATAATTCTATGTATATTTTTTCAACTATTTGTGTAGAAAAAATGATTTAGGGATTTATGGCTTTGTAATTAAAGAATTAGTTATTAAAATATTTGAATACAATGAATATTTTATTACTGCAACAAAAACAATATTTAAATATTTTTAGTATAAATACAATTTGATATTCTGTACAGCTAAGATGTAGGCTTTAGTATACAACTTTTGTAAGTAAATATCATTAAAATGATAAGGTAAAATCTTAAAACTAATATAAAACAAAATAAAGTTGGGTCAAACCAATGGTTTGTATTGTAGCACTTTTCCATTCAGCAAGGAAAATTCTGCTTTTAAATACAGTCTATGTGTACCTACCACACTATTAAAATTATTTTCATTCATATATAAAAACTATTTCTTGGATTGCCTATATTTAGGATGACGCATATATGCAGTCTTTGAAATAAAGCAAAAATAAATTTTAAGATGGGTTAACATAATCCTCGAATTTAAGGGTTAATTGTGTGAGTTAAGAAAAATAATTATATTTTTTAATATCATGGAACTTACCGTTAGCTTTTTGCGTTTATAGAAATTTGAAAAAGTTTGCGGTTTCGGAAATATATGGTGTCAAAAATTCAAATTTTACAAATTTCAAGAGACGATAACTTGAGAGGGGGGTAAATGAAAAAAAAATTTCTTCTAACGAAATGAATTATTTTTTAATGTCTAAAAGCCCCTAAAATTTTAAGTTTCGACAAGCTGGGGTTTAGAAGAAAAACGAAATCAAAAAATTGGAAAAAAAAGACTTTGGATAACGGTATATTTGAACGGCCATTTTGGTTTTCTAAAGTTTAGCTATAGTATACTGCGGTAGGGGAAGCAAGCCGCTGCCTTTCAAATGCTTATGGTTTCATTGCAACAAATAGTTAAAAAAGGCCATTTTTAGGGTTTTTGGGGGGGTATAACTTCTAGAGGGGGGGAGATAGGTAAAACTTTTGTTCTACGGAAATAAGTTTCTAGTAAAGATCTATATACATATTAAATTTCAGCTTTCTATCTTCAAGGGTGTAAAAGTTTTGTAAACAGACACACGGACAGACGGACGGACGGACAGACGGACGGACAGAGTGAAACTAATAAGCACTCTTTTTCAAAAATTTTTTGGAAAAGTGCTAAAAAATAGCAAGATTTTATGATAACTGAAGAAAAGTAGCTTACTTGTACGCTATCTTCTTATTTATAATATTTGTACAACAAATAATAATAAATTTTAATTTTCTTAACATTATTATATTTACAAGTCGTTAGGGTCAATTACCGAAAAATTCCACTTTAAAGGACTGAAAACAATTGCAGCAATTTAAATTTTTAGTTGTTTAAACTAATAAATTTTATGTTTGAAAAGATTATTCTTTACACAATAAGAAATTCAAGGCGCATGAAAAAAATCATTTATTTAATTTTAAAATTAATTTTAAAAAAATCTAACAATAAAGTGCGTTTATTTACCTTTTCAATTTTACTGAAGAGAAATATTGTTTTCTCAGCTTCTACTTCACATTATCTGAGAGAATCACATATTCTTGAAAAAATCAAGTTAATCAAATTTAAAGTTAAAGATCCGATAAAGCGCAAGAAATTCAGTTTAATGTTTAAAATTAAAGTTCATATGCGAAATAAGAAAAAAATAAACTGCTTTAATGAAAAACTTAAATTCGAATTACACATTTGAAATTATAGTGCCCCATAATTTATGCAAAATATAGGAGTGAATTATATCGCAATGTGGTATACACATACATAGACTCAAAACCAATCTTAAACTTTAATTTTATTTCAAGATTAAAATTAAGGCTGAAATTAAGGCTGAATTTATTTCTAAACTGTTATACATATGACTTTAACTTAACTATATAATAATTAATTTGAAACTTCAATGTTATTGAAAACTAATTCAATAACAAATAAAATTTATTTTAGATTTAACTTTCTTTTTAATTCAGCTATAATAATTGTATATATAAATTACTCCTAAGCAACATTCTCATCTAAAGGTTAAAACGCATTATGTGGGCTTATTCTACATTACAAAATCTTATTGATTCATCATCTCATTAGTATGCATCTAAAAATTACCTATAATATTTGAAAATGTAAAGAAAAATAATTTTCTAACAATTTGGAATGAATTATTTTCGAATGAGTAATTAATTCAGTTGAATGCTTCACTTAACTAACATAAAATAATAAAAATTCAAAAAGCGGCGCCAATTAATTTTTGTAATAGTTTCTTTTTACAGCTTAACTGTAATAATTATATGTCACGCTAGAAATGTGTTATAAATTGTTATGAAAAATTTTTTTCGCATAAATAATTTTTCAAAACGTAAAACAGATTTTTTGGTTGATTGTAATTCAAAAGTTAAAAAAAAAAATAATTTTATTTAAAAGAATTCAAAACTTTATAAATTTTACAAAACTTTTTTAATATAAAAATATATTAAAGGTAGTAACGGAATTCAAAATCACTATATAACAGTGAACTAGCGGAAATTTTAGAAAAAAATCTTATCCTGAAAATGTCAAATCAAAAGCATTTTAAATAATGGAAATACAATTAAAATATTAAAGCTACTTCTTTTTGGGTTGTCTAACAGCTTGGAAGACGGTCAATCTTTATCTTTAAAAGAAATCAAATGTTATTTGTACTTTTCAGTAGTTCAATTCTTATTTTACTAAAAGCTATTTAATAATTTGGAATAATAAACTTGGAAAAATGGCAACCAAAGTACAAGGTTTAGTTAATTCTCTTTTAGTTCAATCTTGTCCAAAACTGAATGTTTTTGTAAAATATGCGTTGGTTGAATTAACTACACTATCACCTAAAGGTATTCCAGCTATTCGACATGATGTAAGTAACATACTTAAAAGTATACGTACTTACAAGTGTAGAACAAAGTTAAATTAATACATTCATTACAAAAGATTCAAAAGTATTCTTCCGGTTTTACGTTGGTTGGAAAACGTAACCTTGTGGATTATAATGTCAAACATATTTAATAATTAAATCAGTAGACAAGCTGACTTGTACACCATGTGGGTAAAAATTTAGATTGTAATAAATTTTGTTAAAAACAAACTTTCGACCTATTGTTAATATTAAAAACAATTGCTAATATTGCCTATTTACAGGATGATTGGGAAAATTATGCTTAAAACTTAAAAACATAAATTTTTTAAGTAATATTTAATTTATGGTAACTAAGATAAATCTCTGAATTACATTAATTTTTAATATTTTCAAAAAATAATTATTAAAGGAAATAAGAATTAATTTAAGATTCTTCAAATTATTTAAGAGTTATACGAGTATAACAGTATATTTGTTATATCTTTCCAAAATTATTTATTTCCCCCTTTAATTTTTATTCTATATGAGCACATAGGGTCGTGTCCGGCGTTGCTGTCTCCAGACTGAGGTTTCTTGGATCCCACTTTTTTGAGCAGACTACGGACGTTTCGAATGTAAATGCTAGGGATATCGGCTGTTTCTGAGGAACTCGGGCTGGTTCTAGTGAGGGAGAGGAGGAGGATCCAGCGGCATCACAACGGGCCTTGGTGGCCTAAGTGTACCCTTCGCGGGGCCGTGCAACCTAACATATACCCCTATGGTTATTTTGGTATCGGCGATAACTGAAAGTTTTCATTTTCAAATTTCTTAATTTAATGTTATTTAAGTCTTATGAAAATTTACAAAAAATGTGCGTCTGGAAAAAAGTGTCTTTTTTTGTTTTTTAGGCTTTTCACATTGTTAAAATGCCGATATGACAGAATTTCATTATTTTTTATTTTATTTTTATTTTCTGAATATCGCGTGAGCAATTAAATTTAATGAGCTTGCCGAAATATTAGTTAACATATTCTTTATTATTATTATTATTATCATCATTATTACTATTTAAATATTTCTCAACAAATTATAAAAAGATTAAAATCTTAAAATAAATATTTACAAAATAATATAGATATGTGAGCAGCTAAAAGCAACACAAAAATACGCTTTATGAAAATTTTATATATATATATTAAAAATATAATATAAAAATATAGAAAATATCGTAGAAACACCCACAATAGATACTTCAATAAAAAACAAAAAATCCGGATGAAAAATTGTATACAGTAAAACATCTGCTGTTCAACGTTTAAAATATTTTTAAACATATAAGAAAATTTCTCTTTTATAGTAAACTACGGCTGGCTTCGTTATACCTATGTAATTTTCTAATTAAAATTCAAAGTGGTGTTCATGTTTTTTGCTTCATTAGCTTCTTTTTTTTGCTATTGTGCTCATTAGAAACAAAAATTCATGTTTTTTTTTAAATGAATTTAATTAAAATTTAATTTGACACCAATTATGCCACGCTATTACCTGCCGCATATTAATAAATTGACAAAATATATTTAAAAATATTTCAAAATTTTTTGTCAGGAGAGAAAATTTTTCTCTATTCTAAAAGAAAAATAGATTTTCTAAAGAAAAGATAGAAATAATAAAATAAATATGAAAAATTTTTGTTAGAAAATGTTAAAAATGAAATTGAAAACTTTTTATTTTAAAAGATTTTTGATAGAAGAGAGCATTAAGCGTTACAAAAGCAGTAATTTCTCATAATTTGATAAAATTCTTGTGTAGTGCAATGTTTAATCAAGAAAATTTGAAATAAAATTATCCTTAACTGTTCATCTTCTATTGATCCCATTAATTAAGTTGATTCTATTGTATCGTAAGCACAAGAAGCTGAAAAATCCAACATTTTGATTTTCAAACTAAATAAACTAACATAAAAGACCTTACTTACATTTTTACTTAAAATATTTATTTCATTACTTAAAATAATGGACTCACAAACGGGTTCAATGAAAAAAAATAGGTTCAAATTTATTCAAAAATTTTAAGCTGTTAATTTTATTATAATTTGTAAATTAGTAAAGTCAAACATTCTGGTTTGACTTGATGAAAAATTTCTTATCACACTCTCTTTAATCTTTAAATGTTTTTATTTGGATATAAAATTCAAATGATAGCATGCACACTTATTTTAAAATTAAAACATAACAAAATTTATAATCTTACTAAATTAAATAAATTAAGATTAAATTTCCGAAATCTTTTGCGAAAAAAATTTTCAAATTCTTTCAAACAAAATTTAAATTTTTCGCATATAAATGATTAAAATTAAAAATATATTTCAGTCTTAAATTATTAGCTGTAGCTATGATGGCGAAAATTATGATTTTCTTAACAGTTATTTTATTATTATGCGTGGAAATTCGGAATACATATGGAATGCACGGTATTAAATTTTAATAAAATCTAATTGCAGTATTTCTCAAAAAAGAAAATTATTTTATAATTATCTAATGTTTGCAAGTGATCGAGAGATGGTTGTGGTACAAACATTTTACTAAAACTAAAGGTTTTCGTTAAGGAAACACTGGAGACTCTAAATAATCATCTTATTCTTTAAAAAAGAATTTTACAAAATAAATTGATAATTTTCACTTTAAAAATTTCACCTTTTTCTTTTTATATTTTTTTCTAATTAAATTTTGATGTGCTAAAGCATAATTAATTTTAATTAATATTTTTTTTTTAATTATAGAGCCACAAATGGGTAAATCAAATATACCAGATTTTATAAAAAATTTAGTTGAGAAAAGACCACGAGGTTCAATAGCTGAAGAAAATCCACTATATTGGACAAATCATTCACAAAATGAAATACGGAAACTTCTTAAAAACAAGTCGCTACCAATAAGAGCAAAAAATATTATATTGTTTGTTGGTGATGGAATGTCTCTTCCAACTGTTACTGCTGCCAGAATATATAAGGAACAAAAAAATGGTAAAACCGGTGAATCCAGTTCATTAAGTTTTGATAACTTTCAGCATACCGGAATCACTAAAACATATTGTGTTGATTCTATGGTAGCTGATAGTGCTTGCACTGCTACTGCTTACTTATGTGGGGTTAAAACAAATTTTTTTGCATTAGGCGTAAATGGTAAAACAAATATCCTTAACTGTTCGTCTGCAATGGATCCTGCTAATCAAGTTGATTCTATTGTATCGTGGGCACAAGAAGCTGGAAAATGTACTGGCATCGTTACTACCACAACAGTGACACATGCATCTCCAGGTGGAGCATATGCAAAAATTGCTAATCGTTTTTATGAATCCGACTTAGAAGTTAAATTATTTGAAGAAGATCCAAAAACTTGTCAAGATATTGCAAGCCAACTAATAGAAAATCAGCCAGGACGTGATATAAATGTCATAATGGGAGGTGGACGCACAAATTTTCTACCAAATACTGATATTGATTCAATAAGTGGCAAACCTGGAAAACGTTTGGATGGAAAAAATTTGATTGAAAAATGGAAAAAAAATAATCCAAATCAGGCATATGTTACGAATAGAGACGAATTACTAAATATTGACTTAAGAAAAACATCGAAAATTCTTGGACTTTTCCAACCACAACATCTTGATTTTAACTTAAACAGGGATAATAAAATTCAACCAAGTCTAGAAGAGATGACAGAATCAGCTATCAAACTTTTGAGTAAAAACCCAAAAGGATATTTTCTTTTTGTAGAAGGAGGTCGTATTGATCATGCTCATCATTTAACGCAAACTCATATGGCTATTGATGAAACAATACAATTTGAAAAAGCAATAAAAAAAGCTAGAGATATGACAAACCCTCTCAATACTCTTATTGTCGTTACATCAGATCACAGCCATACCATGTCTATATCTGGATACCCAAAACGTAATAATGATATTTTAGGCGTAAATGAAGGTGATTTAGCCAGTGATGGTGTTTCATATTTCATTCTTAATTATGCTAATGGCCCCGAAAATTATTTAAATAATGGAAAAAGATATAATATATCTGATGACCTGATTAAAGATCCTGGTAAATATTAAATAAATTTTTCTATACCATTATTATCATATTAGTAATAACAAAATAACTTTTAATATTTTCATCCAGGATTTCTTTATCCAAGTTATGTACCAATGGAAGCTGAAACACATGGAGGAGATGATGTTGCTGTATTTGCTGACGGACCATACTCACATTTTTTTTCCGGAGTTTACGAACAAAATGATATTCCGCATAAATTAGCATTTGCATCATGTATTGGACGTGGTATAACACATTGTAGACGATATCCTTTAAAATAATTTGTATTTCTCTTTTGATTTTAAGACATGTCTTGTTAATAATTAATTTCATATTATATTTTCATTATCATAATATTTTTATACTCCGATACTCGGAATAAATTGTGATAAAATTGTTTAGCTTGATTGGTAAATTATGAGTATATATAGTGCACTGTGTGCTGAAAACATAAAATTTTGTTCAAATTTTGCATTTATTCGAAAATTTCAGGAAATTCTGGGATATTAAAAGGGAAATATAGTGAAAATTCACATGATTGAGGTTTATTTGGGGAGCGATATAAATGTAAAAACAAGAGGAGCGAATAAAAATGTTAAAAATTGGACTTAAAACCACGACGGGAAAGCAAAAATTCTCAAGGCATTTTTTGTAGCTACTACAAAGCAAACAAAGTATTTCAAGAATTTCAAACATACTAAAAATTGTCAAAGAATTTGATTTTGTACACTTTATTTGTGCTAATGTACCCATACTTATTATTTCGTGGGATAAATTTGTATTTTATCAAAGGTTTAGATTATTGTGTACGCTTCATTTATATATTTTCGCATTTCTCCACTATAAAAGGAGTATAAAACTATTATATCATAGTTGATTCTTTAATCAGCGGGACAATTAATAAAATGTTTTTTGAAAAAACAAAGAAAGTTTTCTCTCATATTTTTAAAAATTAGAAATGAGTATTCCAGAAAAATATTATTAATAATATTTTCAATAAATATTTTAATGTTTTTGTATATTTTTCCAAAGATGCAGCCGGTAAACTTGAATATCCGTCTCATATTATACAAAACTTTAAGAATAATATCTTCCTTGAGCCTATCCGCTTATTTTCTTTTAATCGTTTAGAATAAAACGAAGTATAATAGTTGCCTAATTCAAATTATCAACTATTGATCATTATAGTTCAACGCAGTATGTTTGCATATAAATATAACGAAATGATTATGTATGTAATGAAACACATATGTACATGCATTAATTACAATTTTTACATATTTTATTATATATGAACAATTGAATTTATTCCCTTCTCCTTTATATTGAATCACAATAAAAATTAAATTCTAATTCATATACTCAGAATATTTTGTTTTCAGTGTAAAGGAATAAATGCAGTTCTTTTTTCTTTTTCCTTTCAAGAAGGAGACAACTAAAGCTATTTTAATTACATTGTGGATGACGATAGTGCGGCGCAACAACGCGACATTACTTGTTTTTCATCGAAGTTTAAAACTTCATCTGTTTACAATAAATACACAAATATACATTTCGCATAAATATATAATCCACATATATATATATACTTGTGGACATACGACTATAACATACATACCGTCGGCAGTTTGGAATTTTAATTGAGAGCCAACAAGAAATTCATTTACAAATGAGGTGAGGCCATGTTTAAGAGATGTTTTCCATTAGATTGTAACCTATACCAGTTTTATTTTATAATATACAAGACAACATACACATGAAAATATACTTAAACGTATGGAACTTTAACCTGTACGTATGCAGTTATTTATATTATAGTACAATTATATATATTATGGGTATACATAATAAAGGTATGTATATAGAAAAACTAAATCTGAAGTTAAAGAAAAGATTATAAGAATTTTTATAGAATTTAGTATTGTACTTAGAGAATATTCTAAGATAATAAGAATTAAAACTTGTAGAAATAAGAAGAAAAAATAGTTAAACTCATGTTTTATGTTAAAATTCAATACAAAAAAAAAACATAGAAGAAAAACTATGAATAAAAGAAACGAATCAACTGTTTAAGATGTTTTCTCTGTACTTGTAAATGGTATGTTGTTTCGAGAAGATATTCAACTTGTGAACCTACCATGTATATATGTATGTTCCATTATCTATATAATATTAAATGTGTTTATACCCACATATGGATTATATAAGAAAGTGTGTATGATTCGGATATATAGAGAAAACAATAGAATATTTACTAGGAATTAAATTAGATATTTGTCATGATTACAACATAGTAATTAAAAGCAAATATTATAATGTTATTTGTTCAACATTTTACCAAACTGAAAGGAACTATAATGTTAAAATTGATTTTATTATAGATATGCGATATATATAACATGCAAATATTTCAAAAAACGCAATTAGAATTAGATTTTATGGCATACACTTCTAATTCTAAAATTTCGTACATTTGATCCAAAATTTTTATATTGGTTTTTGGAGTTCCTATACAAAAAAGAAATTAATTCTACCCATAATTTAATTTTAACAATTTAGAAAGCAAATTCAATGAAAATTAGCGTCCACATGCACTGAAACACACAAAATTATTAATTACAACCTTTAATTTCCTTTTATGACATAAAAACAATAAATCTAAATATTTTTGCCAATAAGTAACGCAATATAACATTTTTAATTGTCAAATATGATGTAAAATCGTTCGATTAAAAAATATCTAAAAGTTGAAAATTTACTCTTTATTTCATACCCTCATATGACTCCCTTTTTTTGTTTGAGTAAATGCGAGACGAGGCGTACAATAAAGTGTAGAACACAATAACGCCCTTCAATTAAACTTAAAATTTTATTTAAAAATTGAAATAATGGTGAAAAGAAGTTTCCTTCGCGTATTATCGCGTGTTACCTTTTGTTTTAATTATATCACTCTATAGCTAAAAGAAATAATTATATTACAATTAGATAAATATGATGCGCTAAATTCCTCTGCATCAAAAAAAATAAAATATTTTAGTTACCGGTGTTACTAAAACGGAAATACCATCATACATATTATAAGCGAAAAAATTTAGTAGCAATATTGGATATTAAAAGATCGTAAAAAATTTTGAGTGCACTTCTTCGAAATTATATAAACTAAGTAATTACTTATACTATTTTAGACTCGCTAACATTACTATACTGTAGATACTTGTACTATACTGTTCCACTACTAAAATGTTATAAGTTCAAAATCTATTCCGAATGCCAAACTAGATATCTTTTTTCATTTTTGTGTTTAGAACTTTGTTTCTTTGTTAAAATGTACTTTTGTTAAAATTAAAAGTAGGAATATTTAGCAAATTTCATTAACGTAGTCGTGCGATTATTTCATTACACTGATGTTAGCAGTATATTTTTTATCTAAAAATTTCTTTGGCAAAATTAATTAACAAGCTTTCCTACTTTGCATTTTAAATTGCAAATCAATGTGTTAAAACAAGAAAACCAGTTTATTATGAATGTAAAATTAAAATCATTTCAAAATCAATTTTTTAATCAAAATTAAGAGTGCAAAATCAATTTGTTTTCTCGAAATTCTCTAACAATTATATCTCATTTAATTCAATTTTAGAAGTTACTTTATTATTTAGAAATCGCCCAAACTAGGTTATTCGGTACTTATAATACGTATTGAAGTACCGATAAATATCAATCCGATATTAAAAACTCTATACATTATGAATCAACCTCGTCAAATTAATTAATTAAAATCATACAAATAAAAAAATTAAATGAAAAAACAAATAAAGTTGAGTCAAACCAATGGTTTGCATTGTAGCACTTTTCCGCAAATAATGTGCTTTTTCTGTAGCACATCAAAAATTTGGAAAAAGGGACTTTAGATAACGGTAAATTTGAACTGCCATTTTGTTTTTCTAAAGTTTAACTATAGTATACCGCGCTAGGTGAAGCACGTCACTGCCTTTCTGCGTTTGCAAAATTTTAAAAATGCTTATGGTTTCATTGCAACAAATAGTTAAAGAAGGCAATTTTTAGGGTTTTGAGGGGTGGGGGGGGGGGGGGGTATAACTTCTAGAGTGGGGGAAAAAGGTAAAAATTTTGTTCTACGGAAATAAGTTTCTAGTAAAGATCTATGTACGTATTAAATTTTCTGTAGCTTTCTATCTTCAAGGGTGCAGAAGTTTTGTAAGCAAAAAAGTGTCCACGGACGGACGGACAGAGTGAAACTAATAAGCACTTTTTTCCAAAACATTTTTGGAAAACTGCTAAAAACAAATTGTATTTTGCTTCTGCTTTATCACTTGCTTCTGATTTATCACTTGCTTCTGCAAAAATGATATAAATCAATTTATAAGCTATTTCCCGCAAATAATGTCGCAATTCCTAAAAATTAACAATTATTATTAAAAGTAGGACTTATAAAACCAAATAATAATATTTTGTTTGTATTTAACGTTCAAAACTACTTCCATATTGAAAAATGGTCACAAAAACTTGAACAACTATTTCAATCCAATATCAATTTCAACTAAATTTGTTCAAAAACGTCTTACAAGTTTTTTTTTATTTTTGTTTATCTTCATCATTTTGATTGATATTCAGTTGAAAATTTTATAAATAAAAAAAAAAGAAACTAAAATATATTTTATTCCAGAAATGGTTAAAACCGATGATTTTATACACAGGTGTAGTTAGAAAATAATTTCAGTAAATTGCTTTTGTAATTTTTACCTTTTCTTTCTTTCATCTTACTTTTGTATTTTATTGTAAAATAATCCTCTTTTTTCATTATATAAGTTTGGTATGTAAGAAAAATTTCTTTTAACTGTGATTTGCTGTATTTTTAAGAAATATTTCCTTTTTAAAAACCAATCATCAAAATTGATTGCATGTTGACAACCACAGGATTTATTGCGGACAATTTTCAATTCTCTTGGGGGGAATTTTCATTTTATTTAATTTTTATTGTTATTTATTAATTGGAATTTATTATGTTGCTAGCAACATTTTGATATTTTTTTTTTGTTTTTTTTTTTTTATTGACAAGAGAATATTGTGTAAAAACAAAATACTTTTCTAATTGCATCCTAAGATATAAAACTTATAAATTCAAAATGGAAATGAAATACTTTTAAGCGTTTAAATAATTTTGTAAATATTTTTCTTTTTTATTTTGCAATTATACATTTTTGGTTTTTTATGAATATGTACATATATACTTATGTAAAAAAACACAACTTGAGTAAAATCAATT